CAATTTCAGACTGCAGAAGTTGGTAAAAAAAAAAATATTCAATTTCCTCATCTTTGGCTTTAGTAGTTGGTACGTAAATTTGAGTAATAGTAGTATTGACTGGTCTTCCATGTAGGTGTATGGATATTATCCCATCACTGACAGCACTGGACTTCAGGATAGATCTTGAAGCATTGTGATGATAAATGCCATGCCATTCCTCTTCAATTTGTCATTCCCAGCATAGTAGATCATGTGACTGTCTGATTCAAAATGGCCAAAACTAGTCCATTTCAGCTTACTAATGCCTAGGATATTGATATTTATGTGTTCTGTTTCATTTTTTACAACTTCCAATTTTCCTAGATTCATACTTTGTACATTCCACATTCCGATTATTAATTGATGTTTGCTGCTGCTGCTTCTCATTTTGAGTGAAGCCACATCAGCAAATAGAGGTCCTGAAAGCTTTATTCCATCCACATCATTAAGATTGGCTCTACTTTGAGGAGGCAACTCTTTCCCAGTCATATTTTGAGTGCCTTCTAACCTGAGGGGCTCATCTTCTGGCACTGTATCAGACAATGTTTCAGGGCTATTCATAAAGTTTTCCAGTAATATATAAGACAGTGTTACACTGGTATTCATAAGGTTTTCATTGGCCAAGTCTTTCAGAAATGGATGGCTCTTTTTTCTTCCACGTCTGTCTTAGTTTGGAAGCTCCAATGAAATCTGCCCACCTTGGATGACCCTGCTGGTATATGAAATACCAGTGGCATAGCCTCTAGCCACACAGCAACATGCAAGCCACCACAGTACAATAAACTGACAGATGAGTGGTAGACAACAAAGAATAGAGACTTTAAAGAATTAGTTCAGGAAAGTCACTAAGCAAATAAACAGTGGCAACAATAACAAACAGTGACAACAAAAAATCCTAAGTAGAGGAGAAACCTGATTTTCAGATTTGTCACATTATATTATTTAAAATATCTAGATCTCAACAAAAATTATAAGACATACAAACAAACAGATTAAGGATGGATCATACACATTAAAAAAACAGTGTACAGAAATTATTCCTCAGAAAGCCTTGGGACTTACTAAGCAATGGCTTTAAATCAGCAATTGCAAATACATTTTTAAAAAACTCAGAAATCATGTCTAAAGAGCTAAATGAAAGTATGAGAATAGTATCCCACCAAATCAAGAGTATCAATAGGGATTTAAATTACTAAAAAAAAAAAAAAAAATCTTGCATTGAAAAAAGTACAGTAATTGAAATAAGAATTCACTACAGATACTTAACAGCAGATGTGAGCTGATGAAGAAAGAATCGGCAAACTTAAAGGTAGGTTAATTGAGACTATCCATTCAAAGGAAAGGGGCCCTGGTGTTACAGTGGTTAAGATTCAGCTGCTAACCAAAAGGCTCACAGTTCAAACCCATGAGCTGCTCTTTGGGAGAAATATGTGGCAGTCTGTTTCTGTAAAGATTTGCTGCCTTGGAAACCATATGGGGCAATTCTACTCTGTCCTCTAGGGCCGTTATGAACTGGAATCAACTCAACAGCTCTATGTGTTTGGGGTATTCTGAGGAACAGAAAGATAAAAGAGTGAACCATCTAGCATACAAGCATACAGAAAATGGGACTTCTATTTTCTTTTTGAGGAGAGAGAGAAAAGAGCAGAAAGAATATCTGAAAAAATAACGGTCAAAAACTTCCCAAATTTGATGAAAAATATTAATCTTCACATCCAAGAAGCTCAACAAAATCCATGTATTGCTTTGTCTGTTTAACTCTGAACTGTTCAGAGCCTTGTCTATCCATGATCTTAGAAGTTTCTCTGGAAATTTTTGGAATTTTTATTCACATTACAATTTTTGTTCTGCACTAACAGCTATGGGAACGCCCCTTCATGTCACCATCTCTCATATGTCTTTTTCTCTTATCAGGAGTAGAGTCTCTGCTGAATGTATTTTGATTTCTAATGGTAGTCACTGACTATTTCATTTCCTCTTGTCCTTCCAGTTTCCCAGAGCTATGTCCACTAGCCTACCCACTAGACAGCCAAGCTTTAGGGACTCGAACAGATTGACCTGGAATTCAGCACTGTGGCAACTCCTGCCTGTTCCAAGCAGCAAGTCATTCCCTGTTCTGATAACAGAGTACCAAGCAGCAAGTCATTGCCTGTTCTGATAACAGAGTGCCTCATTTGAGGTTTCATATCTTAGGTATGCCCAGTTTAAAAATATAGTTTTTCATAGGCCTCTGATGCCAAATTTTGGGCTAGTAGCGTAGTGGCTAAGGCACTTGACTGCTAACCAGAAGGCTGGCGGTTCAAACCCACCAGCCACTCCTTGGAAGGAAGATGGGGCAATCTACTTCCGTAGTGATACTGCCTCGGAAACCCAAGGAGGGGTCGCTATGAGTTGGGTCCGACTTGACGGCACATAACAACAATAACAACCTGCCAAGTACATTAGCCGATCCTAGGATGGAAGCCTTACCTTTCCTTGTCCTACTTCCAAACTGTTAAGGCCCAGCTGACTGAAACAATCTTCCAGATATTTCCTTGGGTTCCAAGTATCCCCTGCCTCAAATTCCCTACTGCAGTGATGCCTGCATTTGGAACAGTATTTCATCATGGACACCCCCCACCTTCCCGTTAAGTTACCTGCAAAGAAATACCCAAAGAGCACCACATCCCTTGTACACTGCTGATTGTCCACAGCTTGGCCCAACACGTGTCCCACAGTATAGGTGTCATATGCACCCTGATGCTGCTATCTGTTATGATAATCAGTCAAGTATTACTAAATGCTAAGATAAGAAACTTAGTCTTTGCCCCAGTTGAAATTGTGGCAATTTCAGTTATTACTGTTGCAGCTCAACAGCTGACATTTCTTTTCATTTGCTTTGTATTTGACAGTCACCTTGGGGGTCTACTTCCATCTTAAGTCAGTTTCTCTGTTTCCCTCCTAAGTCAGTTTGTTCTCCCACAGTCTGTTCCCAACATATTCCCCTCCTTAATTTATTTCCTCAAAACTTAGCTATTAAAAAAGGTCTGCCTTGAGTATTATACTCTTTTAAGAACAATATATATGGAATCAAATCACCAATAGAAACTAGAAAGATAAGACAGGAAACTTAGAGGGCAGTGAGTTTATGTTAATAAGGAAGGAATAACTCAGAAAAGGAGAGAGAGAGTGAGAATGGCTGCACAATTCAAAGAACATAATCAATGTCACTAACTTGTATATGTAGAGACTGTTGAACTGATGTATGCTTTGCTTTGTATATTCTCAACAACAAAATAAAGCTGAAAGGAGCCAAAAAAAAAAAAGCACCCTGTTTTTTTTTACAATAATCCTGATGTAGTTAAGAATAATTTTCTCTGAGTTCTGGATATCATCTTCTTTTGATATGTTCATTCAGGAACTTACTATAAGACATGAGACTTGTTTACTCACACACCAGAAATCAGATAGCACAGGAGTGGTATTTTCCTTCAAAACAGTTACCTTGAAAGGTATTTATTTACTCTAATGATGTTATGAATGAACAAAGCATTTTTGAACTTTTTGAAACTTGCCAGTTCCATCCATATGCTTGACCTTGTGTAAGAAAACCAACCTTAGGGCTAACACCACTTCCCAGATGGATTGCTTGTCTTAATCATTGGCTACAACTTCCTGTTTCCAAAAATTAAAATGTACTGACAAAGGATGAAAAATTAATAAATCACAGATTGAGTTCTACCCCCCCTCAAATGTTACCTTGGCTAAGCCATGATTCTCAGTGGTATGGCAGTTATGTAATGATGTAATCATCCCACATGATGTGATCCGATGCACTTATCCCCCATTTGTAGTGTGTTGTACATCCTGACTTCTAAGTATTTCAATGAAGGAGGTCTGGTGGGGTAGTGCCTAAGGCATCTGACTCCTAACCAAAAGGCTGGCAGTTCAAACACACCAGCTGCTCTCCAGAAGGAAGATGGGGCAATCTACTTTTATAAAGATTTATCACCTGGGAAACTCAATGGGGGTTGCTATCAGAATTGACTTGATGGCAGTGATTTTGGGTTTTTTTTTTTTTTGGTTCATATATTAATGAGACAGGATTAGGCACCCTGAATTTGGCCTTCTAGCCTCCTAAATTGTGAAAGAATAATTTTTGTGTGTTTAAGTCATCCACTTATGGTATTTCTACTATAGCAGCACTAGATAACTAAGACATTAAGGATATTCAAAAGAAAGTACTTAGCCTCTGAAAGTAATTTTAAGAGTTTAAAATAAATGTTGAAAATAAGCATTAGGGTGAGAGTAAATGGATGGCAATGTTTTTGTGACCTAAAACCATAATCTCACATCTGAGATTATTCTTTCATCTGTAAAGATAATAACAACATTCCTATCTTCTGCAGAGAGTTATTGTGGGGATCAAATGAGAAAGTATATGATAACTCTGAAACCTAGAAAGTAAATAAATTTAAGATATTCCTATTCATGCCTTATTGCTTCAAATTAAAATAGATGCAAAGCACAATGTTAAGATATCTCCATTTAAAAACTGTATTTAGAAATCTGACTTGAAGATTAAGTTTATATTTTTATTTTGCAGGGAGTGAAAGATGAGATCAAAGTTCTATTTTTTTAAAAAAAATCATGTCTGTATACAATAAAGATCTGTTTTTCAAGAAACAGGTCATGTTTTGGAAAGTGAAACCTAACTCACTCCCACTGAAAAAAAAAAAAAAAAAGGAATGGAGGGAAATTCCATAACTAGGAAGGCACAATCAATATAAATAATACCTTTAATTATGCAACAGGGGACTTCCCCAAGGACTGGACAGAAGGTTTTGCTGAGTTAACTGTAGTATTATCCAATCAGAGTTAAGGAGGGAAAGTGCCTGTGCAGATAAATGCTACATCCTAGCCCCACGTTTTCTGAGACACTCCTCAGCTGCTCATACACATTTTGAGCATACCGCAGAGGAAACTCCAGTCTCAGCATCATGGACCAACATGCCATTCTTATTTTCTGCCTTGTCTTTCTGACTCTGAGTGGGACACAAGGTAAGCAATAGCAAGAGATATTTAATTTGTAAAGTCAAAAGTAGGACGAGGCATAAATTCTACAAATACAGAAATAGTGCATTTGCAGATTTCACAGTCTGCCTATAAATAAGAGGTAAATGAGCAGAGATTCTCTGCCACAGTTTATATGAATAGTTGAAGTTACAGAAACAAGTAGAATAAAAAGAGAAAAGGAAGAAGGAAGACAAAGTAGAAGAAAGGGGAAAAAGTAGAAGGAGGGGAAAAAAGAGGACAGAGAGAAAATGTGAGGGAATGCGGAGAGAATGAGAAACAGGTAACTCCTTAATTAACTCAGTTTAAATAACCATGTGAATTGTTGCTCAAGGCTATGATTTTATAATCAACAAGTTACAATTCCATTTTTCAAGATAATCAGTTATTCAGAACTGTAATAATGGGATAGGTTCATTCTTATATTAAATGACTGTGCAATGACATGGGGATATAGATTCTGCTAAATACCTACATCCAGATTAGAGACCTAAAATGAAAACCTGCACTAACCTGCCCTGCTGTACCTGTCTGTCTTCCTACAGGAATACCTCTCTCTAGAACACCACGATGTTCCTGCATCAAAATTAATGATCGACCTGTTAATGCAAGGTCCTTAGAAAAACTTGAAATGATTCCTGCAAGTCTATCTTGCCCCCGTGTTGAGATCATGTGAGTAAAATCTCATCTGATGATCACCTCTCTGGTTATAATCATATATGAAGTATGTGATGAGAATAAAAGATTAATAAAGAGTTTGTGATGATTTTATAGCAAAAATTTGTATAGCAAAAAAGAAGCTCTAGTGGCACAGTGGTTAAAGCATTAGGCAGTTCAAACCCACCAGTTGCTCCACAGGAGAAAGATGAGAGGCAGTCTACTTCTGTAAAGATTCACAGCCTTGGAAACCCTATGGAGCAATTCTACTCTATCCTATGGGAATGCAATCAGTCTAAATTGACTAGATGGCAGCAGGTGGTGGTGGTGTTTTAGCAACGGAAAACAGCTGGATTCAAATTTATGACTTCAGAACTATATATTCCATCTGTTTTATTGGCCCAATCCCCTTTTTAAACATGTTTCACTCCAATTTATTTTTATAGTGCTACAATGAAAAAAAATGGGGAGAAGAGATGTCTCAATCCAGAGTCTAAGAATGTGAAGAATATATTGAAAGCCATCAGAAAGGAAAGGTAGGTTTTCTGTTGCTTGCAGAAGAACTACAATCTTGTGATGTCAGAAATATTTGCATTGCGTTTTGCTGTGGGATTCTTGGTTTAAATGTGTTACCACCATGCCCTTCTCTACCTCTATTTATTTCTATATTGAGGTGCCATCTTATGTGATAAATATCTGAAGTTGCTCTGATTACCTGTCTAGAAGTGTCAGTAGTTGACTTCAACCTTGAGACAGAGATATCCAAGAAAAGCTCCCATATTTTCCCCTGGCCTGAAAAAAAGACAGTCCCTGTAATCCATGATGATTGTGTAACAGAACAGCTCACCACCTCCTTCACCTGGATATTTTGGGTTATGATTTCAGTACATTTCAAAGCAGAATTCAAACTGAATCCAGAGTTGAATGTATCACACTTTTACACTCCCTTTATCTTTTTAGGTCTAAAAGGTCTTCTCAGAAGCAGAGAGAAGCTTAATCACTGCACTGCTGACAATAATGGGCCAGAGAGAGGCTACCTCTGCCATCACTCCTCTATGCAAGGTTTATGTCAAGACCTCATTGTCCCTGGTTTACAGTTCTCTGACAAGGTGACCAACCATAGTCACCATATTAGCTACTACCAAGAAGATGGATGGTTCATCATCCTGAGCTGTTACAGTAGTAACTCTGCTCTGGCACTATACTGTAAATTATGCTGGAGTGCCATATTTTTAGTGAATGTACCAAGTCCTAGCCCTGCTACTGACAACTTTCTCACCTTTCCTATCTTCTAAGGGTTATCTATCAGTCTCTGGGCTTATCAGAGTTCTCAGACTCTCAAATGACAAAAAAGGTATGACATCAAATCAAATCTGCTTCTTTAAGAAAGATCTCAATTCCATGGGCTTCTATTGCCATCCTCTCAAGGGGGTGATATTCTTTCATTGGTTGTATGTCTGGAAATGTATGTGTAAATATTATTTAATGAAAGACTTTACAAAGCACAATTTTCAGATGTAAATGTTTCTCATATTTTTTTCAGTGTTTATGGACTCACTTGTGTAATTAAGTATTACATATAAAAGAATGATGAGAGAAATATGTGCTGAGTGGTTTTCAAAATAAAAATGTGCTGACCTGAGAATATTGAAAAAAATTATATGAATGCTGAGAGACCAAATTGTAATAAAGTAATTGTTACTTAGATGAAGTATCTTGTGGTGATTCAACTAGAGTATTTATTTCAAAAGAAAATTAGATTACAGAATTCATAGCCTAGAGCAAAAGCTAAGATTGGCAGAGGACAAATAAGTTTGATAGTTGTCATGCACCTTCCAACTGTTATCTCCTGAAAGGCCCATCATAGAACCAATGGGGCTCAACAAAGCAGGGCCTGAGCTTCAGACTCCTATAGCCAACTTACAATAAGGTATCTCCATGTGGCTATCCCAGAGGAACTTCAAACTCCAAAGCACTCTAAATAAATATCCCTCTCCTAATCTTTTTCTCCTTCTTTATTCTATATCATCCTAGTTAATAGCATTATCATCCACTCAGTTCCCGAGACCAGAAACCTGGGAGTAATTCTATACTCCTCCTTCTTCCTCAATTCTCATGTCCAATTAGTCACTAAGAAAATACTTGCATACATTTAATTAACAATTAGTATCTAGGATATATAAAGAGCTTCTAGAAGTAAGTCCCTGGGTGGTACAAACGGTTAAGTGCTCATTCTAGCCAAAAGGCTGGCAGTTCAAACCCATGCAGAGATGCCTCGGAAGGCAGGCCTGGAGATCTGCTTCTAAAAGGTCAAAGCCTTGAAGCAGTTCTACTCTGAATACACAGGTCACTATGAGTAGGAATTGACTTGATGGCAACTAAGAATGGACAAGAACATGAATAGAAAAATAAAAGACAACCAGTTGAAAATGGGAAACAGAAGTGAATAGGCATTTCATGGAAGAAAAGAGTACAAACTGCTAACATAATAAAAGATGTCTGATCTCATTAGTAATCAAGGATATGCACATTCAAATCATTATGGATATTATTTCACACCCAGCAAATCGGCAAAAATGTTTAAGTCAGATAATATCAAGTGTCAGCTAGGAGACAGGGGAATAAGGAATGCCCCTCTACAGCTGGTGAAAAGAAAAACTATTATGACTATTTTGGAAAACAGTTTGGCTTATCTTATAAAGTTGAACACGTGCATAACTTAACCAAAAAAAACCAAACCCATGCTGTCACGTTAAACCTGACTCACAGGTCACCTAGGGGGCAGAGTAGAACTGCCCCAATCTTTACTGCCTCATGCTCTTCAGCAAAGCGGCTGGTGGATTCAAACTACCTACCATGTGGTTAGCAGCAAACATACCTTATATCCTTGCAATTCTACTACTAAGTATATACATAAACTAATTCTTGCATAGGATGTATAAGAGAATGTTACAGCAGCATTGTTCCAAATACCAAAAATCTGAAAAAAACTCCAAATGTCCATAAATAGACTTGTTAAGTGAATCAGGGTATGTTAACGCACGCTGCTGCTAACCAAAAGGTCGGAAAATCAAGTCCACACAGAGATGCCTCAGAAGAAAAGCCTGGCAATCAACTTCTAAAATACCAGCCACTGAAATCCATGTGAATCCCAGTTTTAGTCTGACACACAGAGTCACTATGAGCTGGAATCAACTGAGCTTCAAATGATGGTAATAGTGGTTATTATATGGAATACTGTATAGCAGTGAAAGCAAATGATGTCCAACTATACACATCAAAATGAACGAATCTCAAAAACAACCTTGTACGAAAGAGGTAAGTCACAGATAAGTACCTATACTATAATTCCATCTACCATAAAGATAAAAAAGCAGGCAAATAACATTGTTTTATGAAAAAAAGACATAGATGGTGAAAACAAAAAAAGCAAAGGGATGAGTCACACAAAATGCAGCACGGCAGTTACTTCTGAGTAGAGAAGTGAATGCAATCAGGTAGGGATGCATAGGGGAATTCTAGATGATGGTAAGGTTTTAACTTTTTTATCTATGTGGTAGGTACGTGAATTTGTTCTTTATACTTACACAAACATTTTTCTGGGAGCTCTAGCAGTGCTGCCAACCAAAAAGTTGGCAGTTTGAATCCACCAGCCACTCCATCGGGAAATATAAGGCAGTCTGCTTCCACAAAGATTTATTGCCTTGGAAACCCTACGCGGTGGTTCTACTCTGTTCTATAGGGTCACTATGAGTTGGAATTGACTTGATGGCACACCACAACAACATATACCATGTCTTAAGAAATTACTGGAGTCCCTGGATGGTGCAAGTGGTAATGCACTCAGCTGCTAATGCAAAGGCCCACCCACAGGCACCCTGGAAAGGAAGGCCTACTTCCAATATACCAGCCATTGAAAACTATATAGAGCACAATTCTACTCTGAAACACACGGGGTCAGTGTGAATCAGAATCAACTTGACAGCCACAGACAGGTTAAGAAAGGATTATATCAATCAACACAGTGGCACTGAGGAAGAAGATGACATGGAGAGGTACATGGGAGATACAGACAACAAAGATGAACCCTTTTGCACATACAGTACTGCGCTGTCAGTGCAGGCAAACATTGATCTATGGGTGAATAGATGGGTGGACAGGCTGAATGATCAGGTATGTCTAGGAAGTGGGGAGTGTGACCATGACCACGTATAGGGTAGGCAGACAATGTTTCTATAAGCATATTTGTATGTTCTGTAATAATGTCCAGGTGTATAGTAGAGCTGACAACGGACAAGGTTGTAGTCACTTCTTAGCCACAGCCAGCTACTCAGAGGGAGCAAGTAGTTGGACCTGTGGGCTCGGGACCATGGTCACAGGGGACATCAAGCTCAACTGGCATAACATAGTACACAAAATCACTGCTCTACATCCTACTTTGGTGAATAGCAACTGGGATCTTAAAAGCTTGCAAGCAGCCATCTAGATGCAATGATGGGTCTCTCCTCCTCTAGAACAAAGAAAAATGAGGAAAACCAAAGACCTGTGGAAACAATTATAATGCCTAGGGTAACAATATTTGCATTCCATTTCATTTTTTGACAACTTTCAGTTTTCCTAGATTCATGCTTTGTACACTCCATGTTCCAATTATTAATGGATAATCTGCAGCTGTTTCTTCTCATTCTGAGACATGTCACATCAGCAAATGAAAGGCCTGAAAGCTTTACTCCATCCATGTCATTAAGGACAGCTCTACTTTGCTGAAGATGCTCTTCCCCAGTTGTATTTTAGGTGCCTTCCAACCTGAGGGGCTCATCTTCCAGCACTATGTCATACAATGCTTTCCTACCATTCATAAAGTTTTCAGTGGCCAGTTTTTTCAGAAGTGGACCTGGTCATGTCCTTCTTCCTAGTCTGTCTTAGTCTCTGGAAGCTCCGCTAAAACCTGTCCACCACGGGTGCCTGCTGGTATCTAAAACACCAGTGGCTTAGCTTCTAGCAACACAGCAACATGCAAGCTCCCACAAACGGACAGACAGTGGTGGGTTCCATATCTAGACCCTGATAACTGACTAACATTCTTTTCCCTCCATTCAGAGGCTGGTTTAAAACCTCAACAGGGCAGTAAAAGTACAGCAATGGCCACTCTGGCAATTCTGAACAAGTCATTAAAGTTTGCCTGGGCCTCTGTTTCCTCACTAAGAGAAATGTTCCAGAAATGTTGCTAAGAGAAATAACTACCAAGCATTTGTAATAGTACTATTTCTGTATAACAGAATTACAGATTATTTTATTTTTGCTTTTCTTTACTTTCCATTTTTTTTACAAAGAATATTTGTTACTTTTTTAATCAGAGGGGAAAATGTTTAAGCAAAGTGAAACAATTTCTCAAAGACACTAAATTATAAATGTTAATTTTAAGAGCTGGGATTTATTTTCTCAGGGACCTTCATGAAATTATTCATCTCTGATAAAGATCTGAACTGAGAGCAGAGTTACACATGAACCAAAACTTCTTTCTCCATGCTAGGCTAACTTCTTTCTCCAAACTAGGCTAAAACTTAATGACTTGTGTTAAAAATTATCGAATGACTACTGCATATATCTCAGGTCCCCAAATAATAATGTCTTTGTTATTAATAATCTCGCTGCTCCCCCTCTTACCTTCAACATTCTACTTTCTACACAACTACGAAGGAGATGCTTTTAAAACATACACACTGCCCTTACCATTCCTATAGCATCCCACTTATAAATAAATCCAAAAATCCTTCATCATAGTCTATAAAGCTCTACTGAAGTCTCCTATCTATTTCTTGCCATCCTTCCTCCTCCATCTCTGTATTCCAGCCACACTGGCCTGCTGTTACTTCTCCAACACAGCAAATACATTCTCATCATTTCCACATCTCACTCCTTCACTTTATTCAGATCTCCACTCATTAGTTACCTTCTCACCCAGAGCATTCCTCAGGACTCTGTTGAAAACAGCAC